TGTGGGGCAAGGGCCCCCTGGGAGGGCGCGGAGCCAGGGCCCACCCGCATTGCTGCTGTGGCGCCGCGAAAAAGCAGGGACGCGCGGCCACTAGCCCATCGATCCCCGCCCATCAAACCCCTGGTTCGGTCCAGTGCGTTTGAAACAAAGGTTGACTCACCCGGCCTCCCGTTTGACCGCCTCGACCGCCAGCATGGCGGGCGGCAGCCACCGCTGGCCGCCCTCCACCATTTGGAACGGATCCATGCGCCACGTCCTCAGGGTGTCACCCTCTGCGCGCGATGACACGGGGAAGTTCAAAGCATGCCTTTTCAGCGTGAAAGTTGGTTTGAAATTTGGAACATTTGGAATCAACAGGGGACTTGAAATCCATGATGACATCAACACCAACGTTCAAGAATGCAAACCAGCAATAGTATAGCGTGAGGGGCCGCGGGTGGCACGCGTCACCCGCGAGCGTGTCACCCGGGTGACGCACCGGCGAGCGAGTAGACCCGCCATCTGTAGTAGACGTGGTCGGGGCTGTCCAGATCGAAAAGGAACGAGAACTCGGGGTCGCCCTGGCGCTCCGCCATGACCAGCTGTCCGGGTGCAGATTCGAAAACGCAGTGCGATTCGGACGAGTTTATGTTTTGGGGGCGCACGGCAGGAGGGGAGAGGAAAGGGTGTGACAAGCTCCAGGCCGGGGGCGGCGAGGGTGGACTGGATCACTCAACCCCTCGCGCCCCCACCCCCTTGCCCGCCTAGAACACCACCAAACATTTCACAGAAGCCCTCACTCCGCGCCCCCCTCCCCCAATCAAACGTTCCCTGCTGTTTCTAAACATCGAGGAAGGGCCCCCAACCTGCTCGAACTCGCAGCCGTCCCGCAGGACGTAGAGCGCCATGGTGTCAATGATGAAGCGCATACGCGTGTCCTGTAGTGAGGGCGTCGGTAGAGTGCCGGTTGGGCGTCGGTGGGGCGTCAGTTGGGCATCGACTCAGCGTCAGCTGGGCGTTGGTTGACGTTCGTTGGGGGGGGGGGTCGCGCTGTGGGTTGATTGCCACCCGTTTGGGTTTGAGCGCTTATCAAAGGCGTGATATAATCAATGGTGAAACAATGACATAAACACGGCTGATACGCAAGAATTATCCGCTGAGGGGGTTGGTGCACTGTTCCAGCGGGCGAGCACGACATGCTGCCCAAGCCCACCCCCGGCCCCTCCAGTCGGCGAGCGTCGGCGCGCGACATCCACGCGCGCGTGTTTTGAGGGCGTGAGCCGTGCGCCGTGCGCCGCGCTCGCGCTTTCGCCCCCTTGCGCACGCACATGCGCGTGTGTGCGTGTGTTCCTGCCCACCTGGGGTGCAACGACCTCGACGTCCTTGCCCACCCCCAGGATCTCCTTGGGGCGCGGCGCACCCATGGGGTAGTGGCCGACAGAGGGGATCGCGCCTGCGGGGTTGTTGATGGGCATTCGATGTGCATTGAACGGCGTGTTTCATTGTGCAGTCACGTCACGTTCGATGACCAAGGTCAGATTGGATTCATGCGGGGAAGCAGAAGATTAGACTAGCAGGGGAGCACCGCAGGCGGCGGCGAGGGGG